TAAGAATTAGGAGTTGCACCATATTTATAATAAAACGTCTCCTATAAGATTCAGGAATTGGCTAGGCTTGTGCATGCATATATAGCATTGAAAATAAGTTAAATGACCACACCTTTTAATGGTCTACCGTCTACATGTTGTGATAATTGAAAGAAATACAACTGCATTCTATTAAGTTCGTGGTTTAATCCACTAAAATAGCGTAATGCATTTGAAAGTAATTGATAAAATAGTAATAAAAATTTTCGCCACCATGATTTTTTGTTCGTCCAAAAATAGTTATATTGACATACAAAGCAAATAGTATCATTTTGATTAGATTTGAATATATACCATTGCTATTTAATTTCATCAATTACTTTAAAATCCATTTTTATCCTCTTAATTAACCATGAATTTAAAAAATGAAACGCATGAATTTTCTTTAGCATTACATTTTGATTAAAAGTCAATAAGTGAGACCAATACTATACATTTGTACTAAACAGTAAGTGCATGGAACAAAACAAAAAAAAATAGTACGAATGAGATAGCCATTTAATATTCATTGAAATTGAAACGTTGGTCGGCAGTTTCATTTTAGTGGTTCATACTCGTACAAAAAGAATTAAAATAAGTAACTCGTACTCGATTTTTTTTTTTGTCAAATACTTGAAAATTTTATTAGTTGAATATTCATTGCCTGATTATTTTTTTTTTATCGTTATCACGGTAATACGGAGTATTAAACACAATATATAACATTTTAATTTCTTTTTCAAATGTTGTAAAAAAAGTCGAACAAAAAATAAATTGATCTAGTAATTGTTGACAAGCATCGTGTAACCGCTCAAAGTTTTGCCATATTCGGTTTATATAAACGTTTTATATTCGAAACACAAAATATTCCGAATCGAACATAGTATATTCATATGTTTTCCAATTTGAACGTTTTTAAAAAAAAAATATACCGATTTATAAAGTTAGAGGAACAAAACGAAAATTTATAAAAGTATGGTGATTACTTGTGAAAATTATAAATCTATTTTATTGTTCTAATATCCAAAATCCATATGGGCACGGAAACTATTTTACTTTGGAATTAGGGTAAGCAATCTCGAAATCTCCGATTTTCCGTCTCGAATTCTCCGGCGAGTATTGCAATGGTGCTTTCGCAGAAGCTTCATGGAGCATTCAAAGGTGCAGTTGAAAGGATCACTGGTCCTCGAACGGTCTCAGCTTTCAAGGAGAAGGGAGTTCTCAGCGTCAGCGAGTTCGTTCTCGCCGGTGATAATCTCGTCTCCAAGTGCCCTACCTGGTCCTGGTTAGTTCCAATTTAAATCTCCACTGGTTGATTTCACAATCTCCGATATGTGTTAGCTGTGAAATTGATCAACCAATCGAAGAAAGCGAGTCTCTGGGGTTCTGGATTGTGATTTGGGATGATTACTTTACTAGTGTTTTGGTATGAAATATGGATCAAAATCAATAAAATTTTGATGGGTTTTTCCATTTTTACTCAGGGAATCTGGTGATCCAAGCAAAAGAAAGCCTTACTTGCCCTCAGACAAACAGTTTTTGATTACTAGGAATGGTAAAATTAGAGCTCTTTTGTTCTGTAAAATCTGAAGTTTTTGATTGCACATTTAGTTAAACTTTGTGGGATTTTGGCACGGATTTGAACAGTGCCTTGTCTACGAAGAGCTGCATCTGTGGCAGAGGATTATGAAGCTGCTGGAGGTGAAGTTTTGGTTGATGATGAAGATAATGATGGTTGGCTGGCTACTCATGGAAGACCTAAAGGTAGATTTTTATATCGGGAAATTATCGAATCTGGAAGTTTATTTTCCCCTAAATGATTGCTTACGTATTATAAATGTGTCCATAGATAAAGGCAATGAAGATGAAAACTTGCCGTCCATGGATGCTTTAGAAATAAATGAGAGAAATACTTCTCAACCGATACCTAAGTATTCTGGAGGCGAGGAGGAGGAAGATATTCCAGACATGGCAGAGTTTGATGAGGCTGACAATGTCGTAGACAATGATCCTGTGAGTTGGGAATTATACGCATGAGCTCCTTAGACTTTTCTTTATCCTTATTTGCTAAGTTCTATACTTGAAGAATTTGCAAAAGAGTATAAGATGGTATGTAGAAACTGAATTGACACTAGACTGGCTTTAGAGCGATATTGTTACCACCCAGTTGTGTTAAAATTGTTTCTCATCTCTGACTCAGGCAACTCTTCAGTCAAATTATCTCACGGCTCATGAACCTGATGACGATAATATACTTCGAACCAGAACATATGATGTTAGCATCACGTAAGCATCTTATTCACATTTATATTAGTGTATAAACTTGTTTGAGTTCTCTAATGACATCTCTCACACTCTTGGCTCAATATATTTCCTTCACTTTTTCAGGTATGACAAGTATTACCAAACTCCGCGTGTTTGGTTGACTGGTTATGATGAGGTCTCTGATTCATACACATTAGCTTTCCATTTCAATTTGTTACACTGACAAATTTAGCTCTTTATTTGCATGCTTGTCCATGGTTTTTATGCTCACTTAGAAAAACTGTTGTGTCTTGTAGTCAAGGATGTTACTGCAGCCTGAACTTGTAATGGAGGATGTTAGCCAAGACCATGCTCGAAAAACGGTAACCACATAACTCTACTGCATCATTTAAACCCCTCATAAATCCGATGTGGATTTAATTTTTTCATTCATTTTCTTGTATTGTTGCTTCAATTAAAAAAACTTGACAGGTCACAATAGAAGATCATCCACACTTGCCTGGAAAACACGCATCAGTTCATCCATGTCGACATGGAGCTGTTATGAAGAAGATCATCGATGTCTTAATGTCGCGTGGAGTAGAACCCGAAGTTGACAAGTAAGTTCCTTCACAAATTTAACTTTTTTTTTCTTTCTTTCATGTTACAGTTACAGTGATACTTAACGCATTTGCAATTCTTTCCATTATCTTCTTCATAGGTACCTCTTCCTGTTTTTGAAGTTTATGGCATCAGTTATTCCGACAATCGAGTACGATTACACAATGGACTTTGATCTCGGTAGCTCAAGCACCTAATTGCAGGTCAATCTCCATGAATAAAATATCTTCATACACAATTGTTGAAAACAAACGTCAATCTTAACTTGGACTCGCTTTTCATTTTTTTTTTTTTTGGGGTGCTCTTGAATCCCAGAAGCAAAAAAGTTACTACTACTTAGCTCTTTACTGTATATAACATGGCTTTTTAGGAAAACAAAAGAAATTCTTTACCAATTTTCTAGTACACTTCATTTACTCTTATGGTATTACCAAATCAACTGTATGGAAAGAATCGACATCATATTTTCAATTTTAAATCCAGCCAATTATTTTACTCAGTTTCGTTTTGATGAAATTGTATTCGTTATGCGCCTAAGCTGATTATATAGATATTACTCACGCAAATAAACAATAAGTCAGGATGGCCGAGTGGTCTAAGGCGCCAGACTCAAGTTCTGGTCCTCTTATGAGGGCGTGGGTTCAAACCCCACTTCTGACATTATTTTTCGTCTAATAAGTTATTTTTGTTAATGGGTTATGCATTTTGTCCGTTCCGATCAAACCGAAATTAGCAATTCGGGTTCTTACTTGGTTTACACGAAAAAGCCGACCGACTATCATTCAAAAACACACTTGTTAAGGTTCGATTCGGGGTTAAAACCGAAACCCGATCGGCTTTTTGCAATTGGTACTATTAGCTTCAAC